TTGGTCATTTCATTGCTCTCAATACAGTTGAAATAGAGTATCTCGGAAAGCCTGCACATGCATCAGGTAAGTTTCCCGTTGTGTTTTAATTATGAAAAAAAAAATGCTTGTGTTAATTTTCCCAAATTCATTAATACTTAGGTGCTCCGTGGGAAGGTATTATATGAACATTACCTCATTGATGCGATTTTACGTGTCATTAACATAAACTTGTATGGGAGTATAGGAATTAATGCCCTAGATGCTATAGTGTCGGCTTATAATAGTATCGGATTGTTGAGACAGCAAAATCTACCTACAAACAGGTAGTTAGTCATACAAATTAATTTTTTGGTTTTCATAACAACCGAATCGGTTTCTGCAAACCTTCAACATTAAAAAAAATTTTCACATAATTCCCGGGAGAACTTCAAAACTTCATATTTTTATACTAAAATAAAAAGCGATAATTTCATTTATGTTATGAAAACCCAAAAATTAACTTTGTTATTATGTGGACATCTTTTTTTGAACAAGCATGTTCAGTCACTTGGTAACAATGACCTTTTATTAGAATTCATGGAATCATTACTACTGGAGGAGCAGCACCAAATGGTTCATAACTATTTATTTCTGACATTTATCTGAAATGAATGATAAATTTTATATGCTTTGAGACTAATAATATTACATTTATTGATTTGATCTTTAGTTATACCGGATTACACTTCTGGGAAATTTTATGCACGAGGAAAGACCATTGAAGACTTAAGAGCCCTTTGTCCACGTGTGCAAAAATGTTTTGAGGCAGCGGCCGAAGCCACAGGTGCAAAACTTAAATCGAAATGGATGCGAGAAGTTTATGGTAAATTTTTTTTCATCTATTATATTATTAAAAAAAAAAAAATAACCAAATTTTATTTTACTATTTTTTAATAGACTTAAAAATAAATTCACCAATGGCAACGCGTTACGAAACTTATAATTCTCAAAAATTCGGAACCAAATTCCCTTCAAAAGAACAACAATCTTTAATTACATTCGGTACTACAGATCAAGGAAATGTAACATATGTAGTCCCAGGAATTCATCCTACTTATAACATTTTTGAGTCACCAGCTAAGGTTAGAAATCATACTCGAGAATTTGCTACTCAGGCGAGAACTAAATTCGCTCATGACAAAACAATAGAAGCTTCAAAGAGTATGGCATTAGTTGGATTGGATGTTTTGATTGATAATAAGTTTTACAAAGAGGTTAAGGAAAGTTTCGAAGGTGTTTAAAAGATAATATTTATAAACAATGATGATTATGATGATAGTATAGTAAACTCATCATAAGTGTGAATAATAAAGAAATGTGTATTTATATAGGGAAAAAAACGCGATTTTGTTTAAATGCGATCAACTATTTTATATATACAGTATAAATGTTGTATCTCATATTAACGCCTGCGTCAGATGTCAGCTGGGTAATAATTATTTGACCAGAATTAACAGATCATTCTAAACTATAGCCTAATTCTGACCCTAACCCTAACTCAGGAAAAGCGACATCTGACGCATATACATGTGCCTAAATTATTTTTGAAAAAAAGTATTTTCGGCAAGCATTTCGCATTACTAAAGTTTTTATACGAAACCCTCCGAAATAACTATACTATGTGATGTATTTTGGTGAAAAGAGTTCAAAAAAAATTTCGGCACTATATAAGATTAATTTCGGCTGCCTAAATGCGTAATTACTTTTTTTTATTAAGATGGGCAATTTAGGCACACATGTATGTATACTGACGCATATATTTTTGAATTTCAGATGTATCATACTGGGACCTTTTGAGCTTTTAGTTAATGATGAAAAAATTACTAAATCACACCAGTGGTGTTCAACACCACATATATTTTTTAATAGTTTGCTATATAGTAAAATTTAGGGTTAGGAAATCCGAACTATAGTAAAACCATAGGTCTAAATTTTAGTTAGGGGGAGGTTTTGGGATGCGCTGAACATTTTTGCTTAGTACCTCTGGCGGGTATTAGCTAGTACGCTTTTGAGATATAGCAACTGTGATGTCGAACATCACTGGTGCGATTTAGTAAAACCGTTAAAACCACTGCACATTAAATACAATTAAAATATTGGTATGCAAAAAAAATTGTAATGAACATTAATGATAGAGAATGATGATAAACATGAAAAAATGAATAGAACATAATTGATTTACTGCATCGCACATTACTAAGTAGTTTTTAATAAGTAATTATGAATTATTAATAACTCGAGAGGTCCCATCACTATATGTATCTATCGACCTATGGTCTTTTTAAGCCTTGAGACTGACTTTGTCAATTGATTTTAGGAGCATAAAAAGAAAATAATATGCAGAAGCATTACATGCGACACCTCATAGAAAGACTTTTGCATGATTTGCTGCTTAAATCAATTTAATTTTATATTATTTATACAGTTTAAAGTACATTTTAAAAAAAAAATCAAACTACAAAGAATAAATTAAAAAAAATATATAGAGAGAGTTTTATTAGGGTCGTAGGACTCTACTATTAAAAATAATCAAAATCTTTTTTATTTTAGATAAGTTAGCATAATAACGACTTCTGAAAAATAGATAGAATTAAGTTATTATTATGATAACTTCTCTAAAATAAAAAGGAATTTTGATTAATTTAATAGTGGAGTTCTACGACCCTAACAAAATTTTCTATATACTTTTTTTTTATTGATTCTGTCATTTGATTTTTTTTAAAAAAAAAGTACTTTAAATTGTATAAAAAATGTAAAATAAATTGATTTAAACAGCCAATCATATGTAAGTCTTTCTATGACGCGACACCTCAAAGATAAGCACAAATATTGAGGGAAAAAAAAAAAAGATCTAGCAATAAAGTAGCATAGACTAACATAATGAAATGGTTTCCCTTTCGTCAATATCTAACTATCATTGATTAGAATTCTTCGCAATTTTTACAATTTCCACAACTTACAACTTTTACAATTTATTATAACCTTTGAGATGATATTTCTCCTACCATGATCTAGCGATTTGATCTTCGAGTTTTTAGTTAATAAAAAAAAAAATTAATAATTAGTTATAATAATGATGGGACCTTTTAATTATCAATTATTGTCGCGGCTGAAGCTTGAAATCAGGGATTTCGATTTAGAAATATAAACCCTACCAAAATCCACTTATACTCTTTTATTATCAAAACTAACCCTAAATCCTAATCTAACTATTAAAAAAAAGCTAAAAAAATGT